CATTATATGGCGAAGGTTGGTAAGGTTTTGCTTATAACCTCGCCCTTGCATGTCGTAGTATGAGAACGCCTCTTGCTGGTTCCTTCCAATGCCACTGAGCCAGTCCGTCGCGCACAGGTATCTATACCTGTCCCATTTTCTATCCACATGGAACTCGCGTGCCTTTGAATTCGGTGCTGTGCTCTTCATCTCGTCTGCCTTTCCTGGATCCTTATTACCGACTTCGGTCTATGCCCTCGCCAGAGCGTTATCAGCCATCCTCTTTGCGCCTTTCGTAGGGAAGTATATCGATACACACGACCGTCTCCATGTCGTGAGGCTGTCGATATGTGAGTATGGGTTTCCACGAATTCCATGACTGTGGCGGTCATTTACTATTTCTAGTATCACAGCGCTTGGCAGTAGCAGTCTCCTGCGTTATCATATACTTGCTACTGGTGGAACAGACATGGTCTGCCACAGTAAGATGGTCGTGCCTTGCGGCAATATCTCTCCTCGCTTGCGCGGAGAAGCTGTCATCTGTCATGAACTTGGTTTCTGTAGAGCGTGACTGGGTATGTCGTTTACTTTTTCATATCAATGACGTTTATTTATGTTGGGTCTCTTTGTCAGGTTGTGGTTGTCTCAAACGGCAATGATGATATTTTGTCCGGCTTAAATGCACAGATGCGTCGTATCGACTTGGTGTGCAAACTAGTCGGCCCCTTGGCTATTGCTCTCGTGGCTGGTTATTCCACGACTATTGCTCTTTTTGCGACACTTGGAATCAACATCACATCTCCTTTCATTGAATATTACACTATAGCAAAGGTAGGTCAACTCCGCTATCGTAGCAACTTCAACTCTCTCATAAAACATTCTAAAGGTGTACTTTGGTATCCCTGATCTCCAAAGAAGCCGAGCATTAGCCGACGAACAACCTGAAGAAAGTGGGCCTTCTGAACAAGATGCACTCTTACCGCCACAGGATGAATTATCGTCACCCGCACCACAAACATACTGGAAAAACATCCAAGCATACGTACGATCCCCGGTATTCCTGCCATCCTTGGCTACATCATTCCTCTACTTCACTGTTCTCAACTTCAGTGGGCAAATGGTCACATATCTCCTCACACTTCCGCCCATTTCCGGCACACTCTTCTCATATAACTCAGCCACTATCGGGTTGCTTCGTACCCTCAGTGTCGTTTTTGAGGTTGGCGCTACGTTTTTATGCCCCATCCTCATCTCTCGCGTTGGTCCAATACGTGCCGGATTGTGGGCTATCAATGAGCAGTTATTATCGCTCGTGATAGGAACATCTCTCTTCCTCTATTACCTCAAGAACGGATCGTCCTCCATTGCTGCCCTCCCTCTGGTGTTCGCCGTCATACCGTCTCGCATGGGTCTCTGGTCGTTTGACCTCAGCGTTCAACTCCAAATCCAGCAAATTGTTCCTCGATCACAAATGGGGTCTTTCTCCGCCATGGAAACGGCCCTCCAAAACACTTTCGAGCTGCTTTCGTACGCTTCCACCATCGTTTGGTCTCGACCAGACCAATTCCAATACCCAGTCGTTATGAGTTGCTGTGCAGTCGCTTGTGCAGCGATCCTATACGCGCGGTATGTTAGACAACGCAGGGGCCATTTACTTCATCTCGGACCTTGCATGGATATCAAAATGGACGAAATTTGCAATTCAGATGAGCAATCTGAAGATCGTTCACGTTCGCCGTCCTTGTCGGGACATTATCCTTGAAATGGAGGGGTAGGTTGGATAATATGGAGTGTACTCGGATTTATGATACGTTGCCTCTGCTTGGGTTTTTGCTTCTAGTCGTTCATCGGGAAGTTGATCTAATGCCATATGATACCATGGAGGTCGACACAACTATATATTGTTTCTCCAGCGTTCCAGCATGTGTCTGATAACTTCGGTCTCAGGCGCCGGCTTCATCATATCCCTATTGCAAAGGAAGATTGTTAAGCAATTGCATAGGATCGACTCGGAATACGGTTATCGTACAAGCATAATTTAAAACGGTACAGTACGCATATTTATACAACATGTGCAGAACGAGCCCACAGGCATTGATAAATAAACAGTAACGAGATCTCCCAACCCGGCAACTCAAGGCTTCAAGATCTCTTTCATGAGCAACCCAACACTAGTTTCGTTGACAGCTTTCCCAAACCCGTTCTTCTCATAAACGGGTTGCCCAGACTCCGTCGTCATGGCTTTCTTGTGAGTGGCATGCTTCAGAATACCTTTCCCTGCGTGTTTTCCACTGTGAACCGTGCGTTTGGCGGCAGTGCTGACGCTGTGGTTTTCGTCCATTTCTTGGGTAGACTTTCTGTTCTGGTACTTCTTGCTCTTTGTCTCTGAAGGCTGCCAAATTGCTTTCACCTGTTCCTCCAATGGAAGGAGCGGGGCTATTAACGATGGGTTCTGTCGTATGTTTTCGGCGAGAGCAGGGTCTAAATTGGGTTGTTGTAAGACAGAAAGGTGGATAGTTTCATTCGTGATCTCATCCGTTTGGATGGGAATTTCTCGTTTGATTTTACCTGTGAGGGAGAAGATCCCGGTAGACGAGCTTGAAACCACGCATATGTAAGTTGTGATACGGGTTTGTGTTTGGAGAAACATACTCATGCGGACTTTGTGCACCCCACGAAGCTACAGGATCTCGAAGCGAGATCAAATAATCCAAATCGAGGGATAAGATGTCCTCGATGTTGGCCTGTGTACAACTCATGAGACGTCCCACTCTGCATAAACTTGTGATATCGCATACCGCCATCCAGAATAGACTCAATTCGGCCAAGTCGTGTTCCTCGTAGCCACCTCCAATCTGTTTGAGATATGTCAGAGTCTAAGTGATGTAGATTATATGCGATACATACATCTGAATGTGAACCTGAGTATTTGTAAACCCAATCAATAAAAGTCCCGAGTGAATATACAGGTACCAACCTGCGAACCAACACTATATGGAAGTCATTAACATCGCCTGAGGTCTGTTAAATAATATATTCACTTGCCTGCTTCAAGGTCTGTCCCTTTTCCTTCCCTTTATCAGTTTGATGGAATTTGGCACATTTCTAAGGTAGCATGTGAGTCACGTTTGCATATAAAAGATGCAATCATCCCTACAAAGTCTTTTCTGTTTTCGTTCAAGGCTACGGCATGATACGCTCGAGCGATGTGATGTCCAAGTAACCTGTCCGGGAACCCAAACAAGTCTTTAATTCTCTTCGAGTTCCGTATAGTGAGTGAGTCCGGAAGCCCGACGGAGCCGACTGTATCAAAGACACCAACACATCTATGAAAGATATTCAGCAACCTATGCCACGGAGACCGTCAAAGTGGGGTAAAGTAGTCACTAACTTGATGGTGAATCTAACGTCATCTCCATCTGGTTTGACTTGACGTCTTCCTGGTGCATCATGGTGAATCCAAGGCTTCAGCGTCTCATCTAGTTCACTGATTTCTGTAATGGATTCGGAGTAAGCATATAAGCGTGAAAACAATGTATGTTTATACCTTTATCATCTTTCGTCATGCCGCGTTTCTGCAACGCCAGGAATATCTCGGCAAAGTGGTCCATATCTCTGCGATCTAGAATACCAATTGCACCCTGTTTGTGGTCAGGACGCACAATTATGGTCAACAACGTTCGCTGCACTTACAATAAAAGCAGCAACCGTTCGAGCGGTGTATGCACCCTAAGTAATGGTTAGACCATGATGAGCTGATAAGAGTAGAGATCATTCTCACCCTCGAGAAACCGAATAGGAATATCTAAACTCGTTAGTAAGAGGGATCAGATACCCAAACATGAATATGACAAACCTCATCGCCAGGTTGGTAGTTGCTATATGTCACATCATTAGTGTCATCATTCGATAGTACAGGGTGGCGTATAACCTACTGCGCAAGGAAGCCATACGCTTCTTGAACTTTCTCACCTAATGACAAGACGAAGTCAATTCTCCACACAGAATGATAGCACGTCAATTCCTGTCCTACCTAACGTGGCCCCGACAGCGCCTACAGTTTCAAAATCAATATCACGTTGATAAATCCGAGGGTACACCACCACCTACCATCGAGAAGCTGCATTGCCGTAAATGTGTCGGTGCCCACACCCGTCTGATAAAACACAATCTGAGGAGTAGGTGGCACACTATTGGGATGTTGGATGTCAATGCCAAAGAAGCATATTACTCCACAATTCTGAACTTACGTTCGTTCATCGGAACGGTTGATTGCCCGAGCAAGACGCTATTGGTGAAGAGAGCCGAATGGTTAAATATTATGTTGTCATTGCACAGGTGAATTGTCGCCGACTCACGATGATATTTGTATATTTCCATCGTTGGGAAACGGAGAGTCCATCCTGCCATGTTCTGACCGAATGTATAACTTAAGACATCTCAGAGTGTTAAGGACAACCGACTTACCCGTCGCAACAAATGATTATTCTTTTGTTTGGTCTAGCAAGAGGGGTCGTAGGACGAGCAGGGTCAGTACTCGAACGACCTCTGTTCGGGCTAGTTTCTCTCTGAATGCGATCAGAGGAAGCATGCTTAGTCGTTAAGAGATCTTGTTCAATTTGAGGGCCGGATTGTACAGATTTCGATTCCATGACCATAGATGTAAGAATAGGTCGGAAGGTAAGTTTTGATACATTACAGGGTGCTGCTGAAGGGCTTTATATATTCTGAGGGGTGCACCGAGCTACAGTGGAGATTGGGATGATGCATTGTCATCGGTTTCATCGGTTTGGCATTTTGTTTGCCCACAAGAACGGCATAGAATCGGACTTGATAAAGTTCAAGGAGCTATTTCGTGGAGAGAGCTGAGCATCTAAATTAACTGTCATTCAAAGTGGAGGCTCAGGTCGGCTTGCTTGTTGCCAAACGGGTCAAGGAAGAAAGAACGACCTCCGAAGAGCCACGGGCTTGTGATATTCGGAGAGCAGACATCTAATAACCCTTACGGGATCCCAGCGTAAGCGCCGATGGGGTAGTGGTAACCTGGGTCGTTGCCATTCGAGTAATCTGAGTCTCGACCCGCCGGGGGTTCAATTCCCTCTCGGCGCACTAAATCACTAAATCGATATGTTTTCTCTGGTACGGTGTGTATGAACTTGAACATGCAGACTGACTCGTAATTATTATTATATCATATTGAGCTGTTTTGTTGAGAAAGTACTGTTAGCACAAGCACCATGGTTTAGCCAAGGTAAACTCAGTTCTGTCAAGACGAAAACAATCACTGGCAAGAGCTGAATATTATTATAATAATATGCCATTGAATATGTCACCGTGACGGTGTCTCCGACTCGAGTCTAAACGCTGAACAACGGTTCTTCCTGTTTAACCATAACTAATTTGGCCACTGGTCAATCTGCTTTGCTGGTGTCTATGGTTTCTTTACAGTTCGACATTTACAGGCTCTGGTCTGATCTCTCTAGTATACGTCTATCATCTGCAGACCTCAAACCTCTAAAGACTTACATCAGCTTGTCCACCTTCCAGCCACTATCTTTCTGACTCTCTTTGTTTCTAGCGATATCTGATACAGATGAGACTCCGTTGGGTTATCAGGTATGGCGACTTGGACATGATCAACCAAAATTACAGTCTAGCAGGGGACGTTCTGGGCCGAAGAACCGCTGGAATCGAGCCGGGAGATTCCTCTGACGCGTTCGCCATAATCCAAAACGCGTCTCAAGATGGATTCGACGAAATAGTTCCCCTGGGATGTATATTCGATGGAAACACTGATGGGCCAAGTGTTGTACACGTTAATATTGCATCAAGTGAAGCTAGCGGCTGCGACATTGCTCTGAGTCATCCAGCTATGAGGACGGAAGTATTCCATCAAGCAAGAACACGAGTTATTGCAGTTAACAGGGGTAGTCAACTATTTCAAGTTGGTGTCAAACCGGTTCGAGATCTGCTCAAGGCGATGTACGATGGGGTTGAAGGTGCGAATATTCCCAGAGCTAATTTCACAGTTTGTTTTAACAATTCTTCTAGCTCTCCGTTCTCTTATAAATGAAAGGAATGAAATACGTTACGATTTCAGTGGCTATGGGGTCCTGACGTATGCCAAGTACGCGAAGAATAATTGTTGTGCTCTTTTCATTGAGGCGGACAACAGCATCCTTCTCAAATCTGTAGATGCCGACACTGCACCCAAATTCCATAAGAAACCTCCATTTAGAATGGTAAGCAACTTCTCTGACATCATTTAACATTCGCTGACTCGTCACAGGGAACCCCTCGTTATATTGCTCGTGCTGTTTCCAAAGGAAGCCCAATTGACAATATAAATTGTGGTATAATGTTCACCACTATGCCCGAGCTTGCAGGAAAAGCCAAGGAGGTTTATGTCAACAGCTACGGACAGAATACGTACGATGCATATACAGATACTGTCCCAAACACAGCCCACGGCGGCAAGCTTCCGGAAGAGAGGGACAGGGCCCCGTCTTTCTTTCACCGACCAGATCACGATGTAGAATCTATTTTCTGGGTCCTTGTGTCCTCCGTCATTATGGCGAAGCCTCTGGATGCCCCGGACGAGCCTTCTTCAACATTCGTTGAAGTGTGGGAGATTTTGAAGGACCATATCATCAAGAAATCCCAAACTTTCGATCCAAGAAATTTCTTACTCCTGATGACGCAAAACATCTGGCTAGAGATATTACACCCCAAGTTATCACCGATTGTCAAGATGATGTACCTCCTTGCTAAGCAGGTCTGCCCGGAATATGGACTCCTTAACCCCCCACCAAAACCTGATCATCTCCATGAGGCCTTCCGAAGAATTATTCTGGAACAAATCTTGTCAATGGGAGAAGATCCAATCCCCCTCATGCCGAACGTTACACGCAGTATCCCCGTCCAGGATGGTAGTGAAGATGAAGATAACGATTCAACACTAGATTCGGAGGCAGAACCTAGCGCACACCCGTCCAAGAAACGTAAAACTGGAGATGACGGGAACTTTGAACGCCGCAGCAAGCTTGGACGGTATACTAAGGGAATATCTTCGTCAACCTTGTTTAAGGAATGATACATAAATAACTAGTAATATATCGTGACTGTTTTCCTTTCCCGTAATTCGTTGTTGACCGTGCATTGCATATGCTATTCTCGACATGTCATACCAGTACGATACGTACAGCTGTTACCATTTATGCAATGATATTTATTATGATTTCTGGGCGAATTCACTTTATTCCACGAGTGAATATTTCTACCTCAAATATGAATAAGTGTACTAATGAAATAATATCATTTTATCACATCAAGACCTCGTAAAAAATGATCGCGCTGGCGCTGACGTTCTTGCGTTCTTCCCAATACAGCATCAGCAAACCTACACGCTGCTTGCGGACAAACTTGTGCTTTTTGTGTCCTTTTTGTACTTGCGCAAGTGTATCTCATCTCTCAAGCAGCTAACAGGACAGTTGTACCTTGTTCAAGTAAATTATTATAATAAAAGTATTTTTTTCGACCCAAGTATAGAACAAGCTCAAGTAAAACTAATGAGCTATTTCAAATGTGTGATACTAATCGACATATTTATTACTTGAAACATCGTTGATACCGCAGGAGGGTCCGAGAAGGTTAAGGGGAAATATGCAGGTGGCGACACCACTCATAATGTCGACACCGCGTGTACCGGCCGGAGCGTCAGATGTGAGCAAGGAGCGAACGAAGGGATAATTGGAAGGGATAACGGGACTTCGCATGGTGGCCGAGTATAGACCTCAGTTTGCAGACTTTTCAACATACCCTCGGTTTTTCTTGTTTGTGAATGACAAGGTCCATGAGCGCACTGGACGCGACAGTTGTCAACTCGTCGAAATGAGAGCAACAACCTTGATGTTAAATGCACTAGAGCTGTAAACGACAGGACCGTTGGAAACATGCATGTTGATGGAATGCATTTCCTCTCGAAGTCACCTTTACGCTCGAGAGTCAAGAATTCGAGAGAGTCTGCTTAAGGTAAGAAGAGTTAGTTTGATGTGAGGAGAGCAGTTGGAATCGGTGTAAGGAGGTAAAGTCGAGAGGGAAGGGAGGTGAGGAGAGTGTGTTCCAATCTGAGTGGGGCAAATGACGACGTTGCATCGCCGCACTCCCGAGTCCCTCTGGTCTGTATGGAGTAGAGTGAACGAGGTTAGTTGAGAGCAGAATAAGACGTACCGTTTGTGATCTAAGAAAAAGCCCAGATTTCGCCATGATCGGAGCTTCGACCCTTCGAGACGTCAACACTGGATGACATCATCATCAGTTCATAACTGTATATATGCCATGCAACCAACGGACTTGTGATATCCGGGCTTGTCCACTACACTCACCTTCGAACAGGTCATTTGCTGACACATCCTATGCATGGGGTCCCAACTTCTCTCACTGGCAATGTAAGTTATGTTTACTTTTCTTCATCTAGTTACTGATAACATTGGTAAGTTTGTGACTCTTTGTACTTGAGAACTGTAAGAGTTCGCTTAGTTATCACACGGGGCACCGTACGTCAGACACGGTCTATATAGACAATACGATGATACAGTGATGTTAAGCTAGTGTGTCCGTCTGCGGTGGGCTACCTTATAAGGTAGCCACCGCACATAACTATACAGTTCTACTCGACCTTCCTAATAAGGAAGGTCCTCAAGATCGACGCCCTTACACCCTCCCCCTCTAGACCAAATCCTATCCTTCCCTTGTCAATGTGCGGGAGCGACGCCCTTACACCCTCCCCCTCTAGACCAAATCCTATCCTTCCCTTGTCAATGTGCGGGAGCGACGCCAGCGCAGCTCGAGTGAGTGTGACCTCTATTGAGAGGCGTCACGAACGTAGTTCAGGAGTGAGGTGATATCGTCCAACTCGTTGGGGTGGACTCCATGCGTGGTTAAGTGGGAGACGATCCTGGATGGATCGGTGAACTCGTCCGTCGTCATCTCGGTATTCGATCCGGGTAGGGCCGCTACGAACCCAGGATGTTCTACCCAGTGGTCTCGTAAGGCTTGGATCGCCAGATACGCAGAGTGTATCGATCGGGGTCGAGGGGTGCGACGCACCACTGCCAGGAACCCTCTACGCAGTTGACGATGGTTGTCCATCAAGTTGTCCATTGGAATGCCGAATATAGACATTCCAGGGCGATGGGTTACGAATTCCTCCCACAGTGTAGGGTCGGGTCGTTGCAATGGGGATTCCGCAGAATCCAGCAACGTCATGAACTCTCTTGCCAGATCAGGGTCAGGTATGTTAAACCCTTCCAGGATCATCCCTTCAATGCTAGAGGTTCCTGGGGTAGACATGGCTGAGTCGGGTGGGTTGGTGTGCACCGGGGACGTAGTTGTCTCGGTGCTGCCTTCCACCCCAGGCGCATTATTCCCTACGAGTCCCAGTTCGAGTTCGGACGCAGGGGCAGCCGCTTCCTCTACTCTAGGGACCATCCCTTGTGACGTCGGTCCGCGACTGGAAACCGGCCCATCCAGGTCGGTGTCCATCAACGTATCCTCAGTTGTGGGGGCGGGATCTGGTATGCTGCCCTCAGCTGGGATTGGCAAGTTCGTCTCGATTGCTGCAGGCGCAGTGGACGAAGGGGGTGCTGCAGTAGCACCCTTCTTGTTCTGCTTTAGGTGGGCTTTGCCACCTGCCCATGCTGGTTTCCCGATGTATTCGTTCATGACGATATTTTCTAGTTCATGACGAGGGTGCAGTGCTCTACCGGCGACGTTTCTAAGGTCACCGAGTATGTCCACCACATCTCGTGCCCCAGGGTTGGTGGGTACCGAAGCCCTCTCCATGAGGTTCCTAAGCACCTCGGAGGTAGTGACGTTCGCGGCTACAAACCCAGGTGGTATTTCACCGGGTTGTAGAGCGGGTCTCGGAGCGTTCAAACCTCGGGTCCTCTCGTGTTCGTACTTTTCTTGGCCATGTAGGCTTGCTACGATTGGTTCACGAGGGATCCGTCTAGCTACCCATGGTATTCCGTTGAACTCGATGTGTTGTATTGGCAGGTTCCTGGCCACGAGTCTCGCCGGTGGAGCTGGTGGTCGGTTCCTCCCCCCCC